CACAGTTTTTCGCTGCTCTTCAAGGGAAAGTTCCTTAAGTTCAAGATCTCAAATAGGTTCAACCCTTTGATTACTGAAGTTACCTTGCCTTAGCCAAGGTGGACCGTGAAACCAAAATTCATTGTCTATTAAATCTATCAACTTTGCACCTTGTGATACAACATCTGCCAGATTTTCATTTCCCTTGCAAAACTGCCATTGAGAAGAAGCGATTAAATTCTGTATTTCTTTAACACAATTTGTTACGAAAGGCTTCCAATTATTGGCAGAGCCCATTATCCAATGAAGATATAAATTTCGCATTTATCTGAGAGTCGCTAAATCACTAAATATTGCATTTCTTGATGTTAAAGAGTGTTTTCAGATAATTAGCTGTCCTAGCAGCAAGAGTATCTGCCATCAGTTCCAAGCAAGGAAGTGTAAGTTTCTTTAGAGGAGCTACTCTGCTTTTAGATAGTGCAAAGGATGTCTCCAAAATAGTGGGATTTTGAACATTTTCAGAATACCATGTCAAGAACTTCCTTCTTAGCTCATCAGATACCTCAGAATTCCAATCACAACCAGATTCCCATAATTCTTGAATCATAAACTTAGCTGTAATTACATATGCATAAATTAGCTAGATAGGATCATAAATTTTGGCTATGGTTTGCAAAATGAGTCTTTTAATTACTGTTTGTTCATCAACCAATTCCAGGAACTGTGCTACTTCTAAACTTAAACTGTCTTGATATGTATCCCATTCATGCAAAATAGCATTTGCATGAATTTTGATATAATAACATCTTTATAACAAAACCTCTCCTCTAAACTTTTAATACAGATATCATAATTTTCTTCAGATAAAGCGTAACCAGATACACAATTATATGCAGACCCAGATAATAAACTTTTCAAATACGTAAACTTGTCTGTTTTGGATAAACTTGGATTAGAGTGAATAGCATTATCATATCGTAAAAATTCGAGCCATTTACTGGGATCAACCAGCAAATTTTTCAATATTCAATTTCGGTAACTTTACTGAAGCACTACTTGTAACAACATTGTTATCATTCAGAGTACTACTAATACCATTACTAGTTGCAAGTACACTTCTTTCAACAACTTCATTACTGTTAATTTTCTTTATTTTACTAACAATCTTAGCTTTAAATGTTATGATTTTTTCATACTCTTCACATGCAAGTAATTCGTTATCATATTCTTTTTCATCAGTTATAAGAGCATCGATCTTTGAGTCAAGACTTTTAAGTGTTTCATGGTATTCGATTAACAACTCGTGATGAATTTAAATCTTCTAGATGTTCTTTATTTAATTTATCTGATAATAGTTTCTCAAGTTTGTTTAGAAGTGTAGTAACTTTACTACGTACAATAGCATGCATCTTTTTCTCTTTTCCTAAATCATCCATTATGTTTTGTTTTCAAAGGTCGATATTAGGAATAAATAATTCAAATTCTTATCGACCAATTCTAGCTGGCAAGTCCTCACTTGTGTTTCTCCAAGAGATGGAAAGCTCCAAGTGTCCAGAGGTGTGGCTTACAGGATGTTTTCTATATGTGGTCAGTAATTTATTCCAAACATTGAGCGAAGTTCACACACAACATTTATTGCAATGATAATACACAATACATAACACTATATAGATACATATTCAAGATTGGGGCTACAGGATTATAGCCCTATTGATGCTTCAAGATATGCATCTTTACATGTTGAGTTACAAGGCCTAACTAACTCTTTTGGTGCATCGGCGCCACCTATAGTATCCTACTTCATAACGCAATATTTAACTAAACTGCTTGGCATAATTATAGTTCAATACAGCGATTGTCTGTAGTGAGGCTTTATAGCTCAATTTTTTTTAAGGATCTATCTTTGAAAATTTATACAGAAATATGCGATAATTTTTTGTTATGCTGCAAAAAATATCAATTTTAAGGCCAAGCCATGGCTGAAACCTGAAGTGATTCATTTTGAAATTATGAAGGGCTTAGGGTTCTCTTGTCTCGTCTGGGACTAGAGCTGATCTAAATTTTTAATCCAGATGGAACACAACTGTGCAGTCATGATTCATTATAGCCCAGTTTGAAAATTTAAAACAAACTAAATTTTAATTAAGTAAAATAAAAATAAATTCTGAACATTTAGTACATAAAATGTGTTTTAATACATAACTGATATTTTTTTTTCCATTTGTGTTGTCAAATCTCGTTTTGTGTTGTTTATTTTTATGCGGTTTTATTAGCAATCACAGTACAAAGTCCGAAATCCAGACTCGTCAGGACTTCGGCGATTCTGGATTTGAGATTTTTTCGGATATTAGATCATCACTTTAAATCTAGTAAGATGGCATGTAAGAATTATAAAATGAAAAATATGAAATCGTGATTTATAAAATAATGAAGTATTTATGATCTAAAAGGTATCAAAATTTACAAAAAAAAAAGCTTAATATTTATTTGTTTACCTTATTAAACATTTCTTTCAATGTAAGTTGTTTAAGTTGCTTCGTTTTTTGTGCTAATACTTTCTCCTTAATTCTGTAGACAGACATAATCTCTTGTTCAGTTATATTGCCGAAGTCCTGTAACTGCTGTTTCGAGAATTCTGACTAACTAGTCAATCGAAATTTTCTCATTTTCAGTAACTTCTCTGTCACTTTCTTCACTATCGGATGTAGTATTTCTGGATCTTTGGATCTACATATTTTGCCATTTATTAATTGATTGAAGATTGAGAAGCATTGTCATCACAAAGAAAAACTTCTTTTATATCATCTTTATTTATTACCGCTTCTCCACATTTCTTTATAAAATCTGTTAATTGGAAAATTTTACCTTTGTTTTGCCGAAAACCTTTAAAATTAGCGGCTATCATCATCAAATTTCGCTATACTTCAATATACATATTTGGTTATGCATCATGAGCTTGGCGACTAATGACAAGTTGTTCTGTTAAATTTTATCTTGCTTCTATCGTGCGCTAAGACAATTAAGCCAGAAATTGTATTAGTTTAGTTATTTATTATACTTATGTCCATTTCTTGCACATGATTAAGGCTTATCTAAGTCCTGAATAAATAAATCTCCATATATACTTAAGGCTTATGGAGGGCCGATGCTAGATATCTTACTGCCTGATACAGTCTCTGTAGGTCCTAAATTCTGCTACCAAACGTCTTCCTTCGTCTTCTCTAAATTCTGCCACCCGTTTCTAACTTTATGTGAATTCAACATTTCTTAGAAGAGATTAGTTATTCGTAATTCAAAGAGCTCTAAATATAATCTTTTGGCCTATGAGTATCATAAACAAAATCCATTTTTAGCATATGGAAAAAACCTCGTGAACATTTCTTAACACATTTAACTTAACTTTCTTAGTATATTTAACTTCTTGTTTTTCCTCGTCAAACATTTCTTAGCACATTTAACTTAAATCATCTGTAATCATCGCCAAGCATAATGTCAACATACAAGGTTACCATATTCTTTGTTATTCAATTACTAAAATAAAAAAAAAAGAGTTTATGCATCACTATATGAATCATTAGTCAAGTTGTCATGTGTTGATAAACATATAAAATATTAGTAAGTATAAATTCGACAATGTATTTATGTAGAATGTTTCATTTTCAGATGTAAGCCAAGCCGGCAATTTGGCAGCTACAGAGCCAAGTTATTGTTGATACAAATTTATGCTAAAATGATTGCTTCTTCAATAACGGGATATTTTATTTAGTGTTGAAGTGAAATTAAAAATCGAGACTCTCCAGATGTTTTATTATGCGTGGAGGGGGGGGAATCTAATGCGCATGCTTAAAGCCTACGAGAAAAACGTTGGTGGTGGTTTTGAGGTCTGGATTTTAGATCATTCCGGATAATGGGCGTCTGGATTTTGGACTTTGAACTGTATTAGCATTGATAAGCATTGGGCATACGAAGAAAGGGAGGACAACTTAAACTATGTTGTATGCCCATACTTCTTGTGTTGAAATGCCTGTACAAGAATTAACCACTGGACAAGTGTAAAAAAATCTTTGAAATAGCTAAAACCTTGTATAATGAAGCATATAAGTTGATCCCACTATCAAATGTAGCCTTATGATTCACTAAATGATAAGAAATGCAATTTTTTGTTGCTAAGAAATGTATGAAGAAAAAAAATTCAAAAAGGAAAAATTTGTAACATATGTAGGTAAACTTTATTTTTGATAGATATATTTATTTCCCCTATTAATAAAGGTTGTAAAAGTTTAAGCAAGAGGAAAAATTAGCTCAACAGTTTACTTTGAAAAATTTCTTTATGTAAAACAATTATATGATAATTATAATGAATGAAGTGGACTGTGACCAGGATAAAGCTTTTCCATAAGCCTTCAGATGTGTGCACAAGTTTAGAAACTGCTATTCATACCTCCTTCTTGATACGATCTCTATACTGTATTTGAGTTGAAGTATAGATATTGCTGAAAAAATTAAAAACTGACAAGGCAGAATCTGATGAAATACTATTAAACCTGTCTGTCTTTGCAGCTAAAAATATTTGTGGGTGCTTGCTGTTTAATCAGCTTAAAAATTCTTATCAAAATGAATATTGAAATGTGATAAATAGTGAACAGATTTGAACATCTGAAACTTATGCATGTTTAAAACATGGTTAATACATGCAACAAAAGAAAAAAATCCTTCAAATCTGCCTTGCATATTATTTTCTTGCACAGAAATACGAGTAGTTTTCTTCTGAAAGCTGGAATTGTGTTTGTAAAATATAGATCACATTAAACCAAATGAATGGAACCTTTTAAAAATATTGCAGAGACATGCTAGTTTCAAAACAAATTCATTATCTTTTCACTGCACTCTAAATTGAATGGTGATAGTTGGAAAACCTGAGAATAAACTGTTGCCTTAGTAAAGAATACTTTTATAAGGAAATCAAGAAATCCACTCTAATTATGTAATTATTTAAATAAATTCATTCTTATAATTTTTAGTGGAAAAAGCTCAGGAAACTAGTCCACAGAGAGGGACAAGAACTGGAGGAATTTCTAGAGCAGATCGGACTGGAATTGAAAATTTATCAGCACATTATGGTATTACTTATTTTCATAATTTGCTTAATTATTTTTTGCCTAACAATATGAGTAAATTTTTCTGAAAACTGTTATATGAAGTACAGATAACTTTGCATTACTTGAATACAGTTTTTCTAAATGAAATAGCTTTTTAAAACTTTTAGATAACTTTGCATTACTTGAATACAGTTTTTCTAAATGAAATAGCTTTTTAAAACTTTTGTTTAAAAAAAATTTTTGTGCTTAAAAAGTACTACACATTCATCCACTGAGGATGGAAGAAATTTCTAAATATGGCTGTGAAACTGGACATTTAGCTTAGCAGCACAATATGGTTTTTCTCATGTATATATAAAATTTTCTCAAGCCTAATAAGTTTCCTTAAAGTTTGCAAAGGAGATCGAAATAACTTTGCACTGCTAAATAAGTTTCTTTAAAATATGAACTTTCACTTTACAGAGTTTTGATTATATATTGTAATGCATGATGTTTTAAGGAATGGGAAAATTTTATGTTGTATAATAATTATTATTGGTATTATTTAATTATGCTTCTGCTTTAAACTAAATTATTGAATTGTATAAAATTCAGTAATTATATATAACTGAATAGCTCTGAATGCAGATATCTGATTTTTAAAAATTTTTCTTCAGTGTGAATTCTGTTGCATTTTTTTTTTTTTTTTTTTTTAATTATTTTAAACCCCATTAGTTGCCAAGTGGTTAAGACTGCTGAATACTGGGAGTTTAACCTGGGTTCGATCCCAAGTTAACAGGCTTTATGTATATTTGGTTTTTATGATTTTTCTTATGTGCAATGTGAATACGAGTCAGCTTCCCTTAACCCTTAACCCAAGCCGATTAAGGAAACCTTGCTTGGTTCCCTTAATGTTCCTCAGGGAGTCAAAAAGAAATTGTCTTACAGGGTGGAAGTTTTGCATGGTGAAGCCTAACTTTAAGAACAAAAAAATCACACAGACACACAAAAAAGTAATTTTGGGTAATTCTAGTGACATTATTTTTAGTACCATTTTAGATTATTACTTAATCTGTCATATATGTTAAAAATAACATTTAATAATTTTCAGAAGTGCTATTCAAATTATTACAATGATTTAATTGACAAAACTCATTAATAAACTTTAAAATTAATAAAAAAAAAAGCATAAAAATATTTACAATAAGAAGTAACAAAATTTAAAGACTGTGTGTGATAAGTCTCGAAGCACGGAGAAACACAAAGTCCTATACTGCATGATCCACAATGCTTTTTTTTTTTTTTTTTCTTTCCATGGTTTGTAAGCACAATATCCTTTCTTCAGGTTATTCCACCCTTTTTGTTCATACAGAGGGTAAGAAAATGCCTATCAGATAATCAGATAGATGCTGGTACAGATCTGACCGTAAACTGCTTTTTTTTTAAATAATTTCCGTGTCTTAATTAATTTCCATAGTTCTCAAAAATTTGTTCAATCAGTTTCATTTTTAAATGGAAAAAGGGCATTTTAATGCTGTGTCTTTTGTTATTAAGAATGTTCAATTTAATTTTGTTATATCTATCAGTCACCCCAAAAAACAGTTTTTTTGTACCATTTGACTGATTTTCGAAAACGTGAATAGTGTATCATAACTGCATCCCCTATGTCTGTACCACCCATATTTTGTTGTAATCTGTAATACATATGGTTTTAAAATGTCTTCTTCAGTAAATCTGTCTTTTCTGCCAAATTAGCCATTTCTGCTTCATGTATGCATGTTAGCATAAAAAGGTCTTCTTTTTTTTTCGTTGAATGGAATGATGTTCATGTTGTCTCCCTGCATTACATCCAGTTCACCCTTTTTTAGTTTTTTTCCTGGGAATTCCTTTGGGCATTTTCTTTTTCATGCTTTTTTATACTGTTCCACAAACAACATTCATTTTTACTGAATGCAAATATTCCTCAAGGGATGGGGTACTGAAGAAGTGATCTAAATGTAAATTAAACCATATCTCACATAAATCGCTCATCAATGTTTTCACTACTGTTTATTTATAAGACCCAACGCTGCTTAACATTTATGTGTCCTTCGTGCTGTAACTTAAAAAATTCCATACGTAACTGGTAACCTATTTGTATAACTTATATATTTTTATCCTGTGGCATGATCTTTTGGATCAAACATACTGACGAAAGCCAAGATTTCCTTTTCGAGCAAAAAGAGATTCATCGATGCAAATATTTTTCTTGGGTATGTAGTTGTAGTTTCTTTTAAATTTATTTCTTTAATTTTCTATGGTTAGTCCTGCTGGGTTTCGTAACTTTTTAGCACTCTTATCTGAGGTGAAAAGCAAAAAAGTTAGAATATTAAGGAACATAGCTCTAAGCGTAACTTTGTTGAAAAATGGAGTTGTGAATATTTCATTTATAATTAAATATATTTTCAAATTAGGCTCCTTGATAATGCCCATCAGTGTTATTATTGCAAAAAACACTTTTAGATTCTCAGTACTTATATTTGAAAATATGCCTGACTTAGAAATTGGTGAAGCATTTCTTTCTACGTTTTGAGCAAAATTCTTTGTTTTTCAACAGTTAAATTTAGTAGATCATCATCAAAAAAAAAATATTAAAGAAATCAATTTCTTTTCTAGTGTTCACTATAGAATTTGTTTCCCATGTTCCAATAAATGTATGAGGATGCAATTCCTCAAGTGTTAGAGTCCAGGATGAAGTATCTTTAGTCAAACTTTCATGAGAAGTTGAAGGCAGGCACTCAGTGAGCTGTGTCTGTGACAAAATGTCTGTATCAGAATCACTAAAAATATCACTTTCTAACTCTTTAGAAAATGAATCATACTCTCATGGCTAATTTACCATGGAAGTATATTCTTCCTCTGATAAATAACGCCTTCATGCCATAATAAACTAAAATCAGTGCTTCCCTAAATAAAAAAGGGAAATACCTGAAATATGTCTGAAGGCAAGGCAAAATGTAACAGAACCCCACATAGTAACCCTAAAAGACTTTACATAGTAGAGGAAAAAAAGAATAAAAACAGAATTCGGAGATGTATCAGAAACACAAACGTTTATAGTTTCATGTGGTGAGTTAAAGAAGCAAGCACTGTTTACGTTATAATTCCCCACCTTCCATACACCAGCTGATGAGTAAAATACCTTAATTTTGATTGGCTCAGGATCCTAAAACTCTGTTCATTTCAAAAGTAATGGACATAGGGTGCCATCTAGTGATCTTAAAGAGGTGCCAGCTTAAAATGCAGGTACACATTGTCCGTCCCCTAAATTAAATCTCCAATGATGAATGGGTGGGACAAGCGGCTGTGAGAGACATTTGTAAGAAATGTTTAGATGGGACCTCTAACCTATCCAGAAAGGGTTAAAGAGCCTTCCATGAAGGTGTCCCTCCATTTAAGAGATAGCTGTATCCTGCTTTGACATATTTCCATAACCTAAACCTACCTTTCAAATTCTAGAGAATTTTCTCATTTTTTAACTGTAATATTATGAATGCATTTCCTTTTTGTAAGTGTTTTAAGTGTAAATAAAAGCTTGTAATTCAGGTATTATACATAAAAAATTTAATCATAATTATCTAATAGGAAGACTTTCATGTATTTATTCCTTATGTCTCTTCAAAATATAATCGCATATTTTATTTTAGGCTTAATTTTTTAATACTAAAATTGAGGTAGTCCTGTGGTAGACAGTGTAATGTCTTCAATTGTTAATTAAGCCAGACTATGCTACCAAATAAATATCCAGTGAAAAAATGTAGAAGTCCTCACACTTGATAAATCCTCACCTGAATGTGTACTTACAGATACTTCTGTAATCTCCAAATCCTCCATGTTTATGCAGAGGAACATTTCACTTACTTACTTAAATTATCCAAATAATCAAGTGTTGAATTTGATGTCACTCTTTGACATTCATCCTGATAAAGGGATTGCAGTTATGTTGCTTAAGAAAATTTACCAGATCCATAAACCGGATGACACTTTTAAAACACCAACATTTATTTTTCTTGTCTTTCTTTTATTACAATTTTTAAGTGCAACTGTTTTTAAAAACATAAAAGAAAATATAGACATTATGCATCTGTACATGCTTTCCTCATAGAAGGTGAATTCATTCTGTTTGCCACAATGGTATTAAAGTGAATGATTTTATTACTATATATTGGGTAATATAAAAAGTCTCTGCATTTTTTTGCCACTAGATGGTGTTGATGCCTATATATCTGGCAACACTCACCCGATTGTCTTAAACGAACATGTGCTTAAAAGGTGACCTTTAGCTTCCATTGTATGTAAAAATAGTTTTCTAATTCTTTGCCTGTGTAAAAAGTTATATTGATTTGAAAATGAGTGAAATATCTGAAGAAATACGTTATGTGATGCTTTTTTGCTGTAAAACTGGTAAAAGGCTGCAAAAACATGCCGAAAAATTTGTGAAGTGTATGGTGAGAATGCTGTGAGTGAATGAAGGACCCAGGAGTGGTTTGCAATTCTGTTCCGGAAATTTCAATATCAAAGATGCACCTCGCTCTGGTCGGCCAGTCACTGAAAAAGTCGATGAAATTTTGTAACTAGTAGAGCAAGACCTGTACTCAAGCTGTCAGGAAATAGCAGAGGCACTAAACATCAACCATATCATAGTTTGGAATAATTTGTAAAGAGCAGGTTACAAAAAGAAGCTCAATGTTTGGGTGCCACATAAATTGCAACCTAACGAAACCATCAATTCGGCCCTGTAGTGTGCACAACTTGACCATCTGAATGAAGCAATACAGAAGGAACGACCAGAATTGGCCAAAAGATAGGGAGTTGTGTTCCATCATGACAATGCATGGCCATACTCATCTTTGATGACTTGGAACAAATTGATGGATCTTGGTTGGGAAGTTTTGATGCATCCACCATATAGCCTAAACCTTTCACCGTCTGACTACCATCTTCTTCAGTCTCTGCAAAACTCTCTTGATAGTAAAAAAATTGGCCGTCCGAAGAGCCGCTGA